TCTTCATGAATGTTCTTTTATAGTGCAACATGCATAAACAAGAAGTTCTTTTTTCGCAACGTTTAATGGCGTAGGAAATTCCTCGGATATCAACAAACGCTGGATTTTGCCCACTTTTACCTCTATTTTCTCCCAATATACTGATCAGAACGGGACTCAATTCTAGTAAGCGTCATTTTGCGCCTCCAGTCAACCAACCGAACTAAATAAACAACCTCAAGTGGGTGTTAAATCTCCCAGTCTCCAACCGTTCATCAGATATGTAATCTACTGTAGCCAAAATATTTCCCAATTACAATCTGGTTCCTCTTAGGGATGCAGCTGCAAGTCAACGCTTCTCTTCAAGTTGGGGAAGTCAAAAGGTAAACAGCCTTTCACAATGCAGGAACGAAATGGGAGACAATTAATTGGCCGAACCTGAAAATATCATCAAATATAGGTGTATATTCACAAACATTTGTCACAATGTCTGTCTTGTTATCGTATTAGATCGCTTGTTTTAAAGCCCTTTGAGATTGTTTTGGCACTCTTGTTCTAACCGATTGAATGACACAGTCCAAATAATATGTATTTTCAGTTTTATTTAGGTCAATGTATGTATCAATTGTACTATATTTGGCCGTGTTTTGAGACCGATTTTATAGCTTTTGGAATAACGTAACGTTCGGTGTGTTTCATTTGAGCCATAGCAATATGAGGTACACGCTATCAAAAAGCATGCATTTACCGGTTCAGCAAGGAAACTGATAGGTTAAATAAGGCTCACGTTTCTTATTCTATATGACCGTTCAAAGATTCGTATAACTGAAATGCACAGGAATCAAGAAAAACCTTGGGCAGTAAATTATGAGTAGTCAAATTAGGTTTCCAACTTTGTTTGGCAAACTGCCAAGTATAGAAATGTAGAAATTTGATGGCCCTGTAAATTTTTTTCTACAGCTTTCAGTCGTATAAACGAAAAACGATTGTTGGCGTTAAGAAACTCATTGTATTTTGTACTTTCGGGAGCTGTTTAATTTGAGAACATTAAAAATCCCATCTCTACGGTGGCGCAAAGAAACTTTGCTATTATATGTTGTTTCGATTGGAAGAATTTGTAATTTAGTTGGTAAGAGCAACCGTCACATTTCGCAAAGCAAAGGGTTGAAACACCTAAGTAAAAACCTAATTTCGATGTTAAGTTGGAGAGCATCAAGTACGGCGTCCTGCCAAATTCACTGACAGTATTAAGTTTTATGATTTCATCCATACTGCAGAACACATCTACCACTCTTCCTAGAGTTGAGCTTCACTTCTTATTTGAATAAGACTTGGAGATTATGGCATAAAACACCTCAACGGTCTTCTTATATGACGTGACGTAGTTTACCAATAGCGGCAATACTATGAAAGTATACGCAGAAATATACACGATATTAGTTGGCCAGTCAATGATAAGGTTTACGAGAAGACAATCGCCTATAATAGTAATTTTTGGTTGATAGTAACGTCTCAATCATTTGTAAACCGAACTTGCCTTACGAACTCTGAATTTGAAATCTGGTTCCAGCTGGTCAAGGGTAGGCCCTTACCGTATTAGTTGACATATAAAGCAACAACAGCGTAAACCGCCAGTATATTATAATGATTACCCCGCTAAATTTGTAATTAAAACTTGTCGACTTTTCCTTGTCACACTCAGGTAACCACTGGCATGAAGTTTAAAGTGGTCCTAAAAATCCAGGCGCAACTTCCTTATTCCATCGTGATATCAGCATAAGTTGGAAGATGGCTAGACCACGAGTGCTGCTGCTATCCTAAGAGGCATTTGGGTATTGCGCGTCAGATACAGTTTATAGAAACAGGACTCAATTTAACAAACATTTAGAGTAAACTTACACGGGTGTATACAAATATATTTATCTTATCAGCAACTCCATCTACATAAGCAAACAGAAAGAAAACAATGCCGCGATACATTTCGCCATATCCATCGCGACAGTTTTTCTGGTAATGTTCCAGTTTTTCCTGGTTTAAACACTCAGTTGATGGTCGGAAAACTGTGAAAACTATGGTATAAAACTTTCAACCCAAAAAGCATAGCTGGGCCCGTTGATACAACACCATTCTATACGACCAAACTGTCAGAGAATGTATTGGTATTGGAGTGGTAATTGTGGGCAGTGTAGTTTTTGTGTTGGCAAAGGATAAATGTCTTAAATACATCTTTGGCACTGAAAAAATTGTCAGTCCTTCTGAAAAGCTCTGATACGTACTAGCGCCGTCTGGAATCTGTTCAGTTATTACAAAATAAGCGCCTTTTCTTTTGATTTACTTCGAGTAAAACAGTTTACTTATTTTCCATTTTAACTTCCCTGTGGAAATTCACTTTCCAAACATTTGCATCTTCTTACGGCTCCGTGGGACTTATTTGGTTTTGTGTTCTCTCTTATTTGTTTTATTTTATCTTTCAGGCAAAAAGGCGTTTAGTTGGTTTTCCATTTCCTCCCTTTGAGATCTTCTGTAGACCGGAAGGGGCGCTTTCCCATAGAGACCAATGTTCAAAAATGAAAAAAATGCATAAACTGCGCACATTGAAATGGAGAGCTAAATTGAACCTCTCCTAACCATATGCTCATGAAATATCCAAAAATAACTCAATCCGACAGAACAGACAGCTAGTTTAGAGCCAACATTAACCTATTTGGAAACACAATTGACGTTACTTATCCTGCTGAAGTAAGCATAACTATGCTGGAAATACTCTTCGACTACTCGGAATGACCTTTAGATCGGGAGCAACATTGTACGTAAATCCTGACTTGAGAAGTAAAATTTATAAAACCAGCAAACACAATGCGAAAGCGGATCATTCTGATTGGCACAAAAATAGCAAAGTAGCAAAAAGCTAGTTACTGCAGAAAGCTTTTAGAAAAATTGAGGTATTCCTTGTTAATGGGTCTAAATGTTTTAAGTTTAACCGGTATTAACTAAGTTGAGGTCCAATCTTAGGATGAGAGCGTCGGCTCGTGAGAAGAATTTATATTTACGCTGCCATAAGCACTGTAGGCTACACGCATTTTGCTATGTGTCTGGTCAACTGCACACCGACCAATCAGGAAAAAGCAAGAGGTCGCGCTGTTCTCCTATGTTAATACTGAGTCTTCTTTTTCCCACTAATGTATCCGCAAGCTGACTGAGCAGTTGCAATCTTGTCTTATAAAACTGCCTTCGGTTTAGCTGAGGTTAGCATTCAAATATGTGCACATCCCCACCAGCTCGAAAAATAAGCGATTCCTCTGTCATTCCGGACTACAATATTATCCTTATGGGTTCTCATGGAGTTGGAAAGTCTGCTCTTGCACGAAAGTTTTTAAAAAATAGTTTCTCTGAAAGTTATCAGCCTACGGTGGAGGAAATGTACTCAACAATTCTTCAGACGATAAGTGAGTCCATTGGGTGTATTTGATTTGCGAAATCTCACATGCTAATTAGGCGAAGTTTTAAAATAGATTTATCTTGAGCAGTGCTTGGCAATATGGCTTTCTGGTATAAAAAGGTTTTTTAAATATTATATTGTAGGTATTGTGTTTAATGAATAATTCTGCATGAAGGAGCTATTTATAAATTTAAAACTGCAAACTGAAAGTTCTTTATTGGTAATGTTTTTAAGTAATCTCGTAATTTCATTACGTTTGGTTCAGTGCGCTTTCTGTGCGTTGAACTCTAAAGAATGCAAAGCAGAACTAAGGTTGTAAAGCATTGTAGGATAAAAGGATATACTACCCAAAACGAGAATTCCTGTTCAACTGACTGCTTTTTTCTGTTCATAGATTGAAATATGTCTGAAAGATTTGAAAAATTGTTGATCAAAAGTCGAAAAATATCATCTTTTCCTACATCATATGACAAATTATGTTTTCTAAACACTGCAAACATGCTGCATGCTATGTAAAAACTCCATAGCGTAGATGAAATTCAGTGATTGCTTATTATTCATGTATGTATGACATTCCCTTCTCTGTCATTCTGTTCAACAACAGTTAGCGTGCTGCTGAGTGCATCATTGTATGGTTATGGAATTTTTGACTTATTTGCATCGTTACTACACCTACTAAGCAAGCAGATGTTAGTTTACTATAAAATTAGCTGTCTCACTTTTCCAAGAAACAAGCACCCTGAATAACGTTAACGACGACTGTTTACTAACCAACCGTTTTCGATGTTTCTTAGCCGGTTCTTGCAAACGACTAGTGCTAACTGACACAGCTGGACTCCATCACTTTCCAGCAATGCGAGAACTCCGGATGCGGACGGGAGATGCCTTCCTCTTGGTGTTTTCATTCGACTCACTGGAGTCATTTAAAGAAGCCCTGAGACTTCATAAGAAGTTGAAGCAAGTTCGAGGTAAATGTATTAGTTGTTTTTTGTTAAAAACTGCATATCAGTCTAGAAACATCTCATCATCGGCGAATATTCATCATTATTTGACAAATCCTGAAATCGTTGTCTTTGTCGGTTATGTACAGGTAAATGTTTCAAAAGTTTAGCTCACATGTGCTTCCATTAGTGACGAAGGATGCTAGTTAAGCATCGAAACCAATGTGCTGCGTTCTAGAGCCGAGGTGACACCCTAAGCTGAAGACACCATTCACGAATTAACTACCATTTGGTTAGGGCTGACTAGTCTGATAAAGTGCATTTTGTTAAGTGAATTAAAGGCTTTGAAGAACTAATTTCTCGCAGCCATAAATTGTGTAAATATTTGTTTCTAAACTTCCTGAATTGGAACTCGAAATAAAGACCTCCCCTTTCGACCGAAATTTCGATAACGCCGTCAAAAATTTAGGTCAGATCAACCGGTCAGAATTTAAAATTATTACGGAACCAAACATGTGATTATCCTCCATAAGTATACCGATGAAATGAACCTATGATTTTCTTACAGAATTATAAGGTATGCACTTATGATTAATTGATTTCCCTAATATGGTTTGTCCTATCGGATTAGCTTCTTCCTACAAGCGTTGGAAACATCTTGCCTATCAGTTCAACATTGCTTTTGTGTCCCGCATGTTCAAATAGTGAGTAAGCTTAAAATGCTGCCTTTCCTCAGTTGATTAGTTGTGCTTAGCTGTCAAATTTATTAAGTATTCAAAACCATACCCAAAATAATAAAAAGCTGTGCAAATAAAAACAAAAACTTTCTAAGACAGAACACAGCAATAAATTGGTCGAAGTGTCTCAAGGAACGAAACCTAAGAACAACGTAAAATCCAAAAAATAATGCGCCCTGGAGTCAGTGCTATGCTGATGGTAAAGGCGGAGCAACAAAATTGTTCTTCGGAGACTTGGCTGTGTCTTCTACCTGTGTTGCGCCTAAATCACCTTTATTTTGTCTAAATGGGTATGCTTCGGTATTAGCAGAACCTTTTAACCTAGTTTCAGTAAACATACCGTTCAAAAAGAAACATCAATTGCACCAAAAACAATCATTTGTTGATTTTCTTGTCAGGTAACTCCCAAACGATAACTTTGGGAATACAGTTTATAAGCGCAAATTACCCGCTTCCGTACATCCACCTCGGAACACACAAGCAGAGATGTCAGCTAATGCTTCTTAAACTAATTCAAACACAATGTGATGCTGGTCGAGACCAGTCGCGCAAGACTCAATGACTGTGTGATTTCTGTGATGTCCGAGCCTAAATGGAGACTCGTTCAATCTCTACATTTATCTTTGGTCCAATGCACATCCCTGTGAAATCGCCGTCAATTTTGCCACGCTGGTCTTTGATTGAGTGTCGTGTTCTATAATTATCACTTAGCAGTTGAAGCTTTCTCAAGAAGTATGGAATCTCACGTGTAATAAAAAGCATACATTGACGATCGCATGCTTACTTAATTTGAGTCGATATCGTATAATTAACCATAGGCAGGAACCTAAGATACACCAAAAGTTAACCAAGCGAATATTTATATAGTCTTGTTAAACGAACTTTATATTTATTGTCATAGTATAGGGCACTAATTATTAATCTTCTTAAGACACTAACCTCAGTCTATAGCGAAGTTAAATCAGAATGTAAAATGTAAATGTAAGGCTACTGTTGCAGACGAAATGCCATTTTAATGTATTTTCAGATTTTTGCAACCTCGTAAGGTTCAGTATTAAGTGCGTATTACGTGTATTACGCGTATTACGTGGCTGCCTAATGCTGCTGTCATTTTATGTTCTTTTCCACCGAACGCCCAGGAAATGGCCTTACATAAGCTGTTCCCAGTGTAACCTCAAAGACTTGAAAGTGTGGGATAAGTGATTTCGGTAGCGACTTATCCTGTTATTAGAAGTGGCGTCTAGAATGCCCACAGCGAAATAAATGATACTGAATTTATTCTAAAGTAGGAAGTGCAACCTCCTGTTCGGATTAGTGCACCATTTTACCTCTCTTACCGATGTATACAAAACTGCGAGTCAGGTTTGTTGTTTCGGACCGTGTCTCATCCGTGTACTTGAAATATTCTGATTTGTATCAACTTATGTATTGAAAAAAGATGTAAAAATTGAAATAAAAAAAGCCCGGCTTACATAAGATACACCTTTAAAGCACAAAGTTTAAACATTTAATTAAAGGACTAAAGGCAAACCAAGACCACCAAAATCTTTAGCTTGTCATGAAGGTCTCATTATGCTTAGATTTTTAAATGCCTGTAAACTCTAAAATTGATTTTAAAAAATTGCTGTGGAGGGATAATCTGTCTTGAGAAATAATTTGATTTTGTTTTGTAATTATCGCAAAGCCTACGCTACCATCACGGCTAAAAGTACTAAATTTTATGCCCCGTTTTTCTAATGGACAGGCCAATTATCACTTATTTTGTAATTGTTAAACCACTGAGTTGTATTTCTATACTGGGTCATTTATTACACCAAACTTTATTAAACGTTGCCTCTAGAATAGACCATATGTAAATCGTGAATAATAGTGTAGCCATTTGAATAAATTTGCAGTTTTCTGTTGTAAAGTATAGAGGAACATTTTTAAGGGCTACTTATTAATTTTCCATAACGCATCCTATACTGGGTCATTTTAGTGATACAGGTACTTGTGCGTTTTATTAAAACTGTAACCCCTGGTATAACCGACGCACTTGCAGGTGACCAGTTTGATGATCAAGCGGTAATTTTCATTGGAAACAAGCTAGACCTTCTCTTCTCGTCGTCTGTGGGAAACAAACCTCCTGAAAACGACAGGATCAAGAGAGAGGAACATCGGAAGCAGCACGGAGAGGACAGTGGTTTGGCTGTTGCCGAAATGGCTGCTAATATTTACCAAGAAGCGGAGGACACATTTTCACAAAAACCAAACTTTCGATATATCACCACATCCGCCCGGATTGGGCATAATGTCCTTGAACTCTTCCACCTCGTTTTATGGCCTATCGTGCATGCATCGACACAGCAGAAGCCTATTTATGAGGGTCGGAAATACGGATCTGCTGAGGATAGTTCGATGACTCGAAAGATCAGCGCAGGCAATATCTTTCCGAAGAGAGTGAGCTGGCCTTGGAAGCAGATTTCATGCACACGGGTTAGTGGTACGAAAGATGTAAATGCCTTATATTGATGCTGTACAATGTTTTCGTGTTCCACAGTGTTTTTCGAATTCCCTAATTCAACAGTCAACAGCAGTATAAAAGAATACACCGAAGGCAGATTAAAGAACGCACTTTACACCGACAAGAACACATCAGTAATATCTAATTAAATAAAATATCAACCATCATGTCCAAGAGAGGAAGTAAGATCTATACATCTATCAACAAAGCCTACCGAAAAAATTTAAATTCTTAGTCTTATTCTCTTATACAAACTAACCGCAAATATTAACTAATAATACTCTTAAACTTTCTAAGCACAAAAGTAATAAGTAGGCAACACTAGCTTTTTCATAAACCCTTATCTAATATTCTCTACTCAAATTTGAAGAAAATATGATTATCATTTTCTATTTTAACATACCAAACGGTAAGGCAAGTTAAACTTGCTTTTGCACGCACAAATATTCTATTGACACCTGAGATAAGCAATTGACACTTAATGTAGGATAGCTTTCCTTGTCTAACTTAAGGGTTAATATGCAAATGGAATGTAGAATACACCATACGAACCATACACGGAAAATGTCCACTGATTTTCTTTTTTCATTCACATGAACCATAAAGTTAAAAACTCGCAGGCATTTAAGGTATTGTGTAGCTTTTGAAGGAGAACAATTTTGGCGAAGGTCTCAACTACTGTTTTTCCAGTGAATTTACATCCTAAATTATCTAAAAATATTAAAATAAATACGTAAGTCAATTATTGGCTTAATTTGTACGGCTACAAATCGGCTGTATCTCTGTGTTGTGCATTTAGATTTTCAATAAAATACTTTTTTTTCTGTTCTCTTAAGATTCCTTTTGAAATTCACTTTCCCCTTCGTCAACGGATTCCGCTAGCTCAGACAACGGTAGAAAGTAATATCTCTGTGGATGACATACCTTCCGTACATGTAAGTGTACCGGAAACAGACAATGAACCCAAAACTCTGTTCCGCAGTTCAATTGGATCTCGACGTAAATACAGCATCAGCCTACGATTGCTTCCTTCCATCTCCTCTAAACATCGACGAAAACAGACTGAGGACCTAATGAACAAGCCAGCAATCAGAAGTAGATCGGTTGACAACTCTGCGCTGAAAAAAATTAAAAGTCATGATGGCCTCAAAGACTTAAATGCAGCCTTCTCTATCCTTAACGAAAGTGGCAACAGTTCCGTCAGTATTCATTGCATGTCTGAGGACAGTAATATCAACACACGCTCCGCTTCCTTTTGTTCAGGTGTGCCGTTTGCCTTCAGCAATTCAAAGTATGGTAATTTCCTCTCACCCGGTCAAATAAGTGATGGCTGTTCATCGCGGGGATCAATGGAAATACCAACGCAAGCACTGGATTTTGTGAAGGAGGTTGGTCGACTTCTAGATCCATCCAACAAGTCAGCAAATGTTGCAGACTTTCGAATACCCCATACACCCTTTGTAGGTGGCCAGAGTAAATCACCTGGATCCGCCTGGGAACGAATCCGAAAAAAGGGTGTCTTCTATTAATGTACATTTTAGAATGGGCACAACGATTCGAGCGTTGAGTGAAACCTCCACACTTATTTGCAGTGGCAGCGAATAACAAAAAGCATTTTCCTATGAAGCACGAATCGCTGAGAGAACCCGATTGACCAGATCCTATGTTTTGTTTATCTTTTCTTCAGTAAACTGTAGAGGTTCCTGAGCCTGTCTTCCGACTTCAACGTCTGGTTCTGTGCTTCCTTACTGACGGCGGCAAACACCGAGCTGAACCTCATGTGTTGATGGTTGCCTGATCCTCCCGATTCAGTAAACAACGTCCTTTTAGTAGATTAATTACAGATTAGTGCGATACACCGCGTCCTTGCTGTGAATGAAGTCATTGTGATCTCACGGATTGCTGTACTGATTTTATTCTACAGCACTTTAGTTATTTCTCACTTAAGTCACTTTAAATATGTTTGAGGAACAATTTGTCGCAGCACAGTGGCTACGGCGTTTCCTCTGCCTAATGTTATTGGACTACGTAAACGAATGGAAAGTGGACAAGCAGATTGTTTGACCGAACTCGTGAGTGCAGTGCCCTTACTGTTAGCCCTTCTATTCAGGGGTTTCTCATTACAAAATATTTGAAAAAAATGAACCCAACAGACTGAACGTAACTTCTCAAATGTTTTTTTAATAAAAGTTTATCACCCCTTATAAAGGCACAGATAACCCCATTCTGGCATTACAAAAATGTGGCAAGTAATGTTCCGTAATAACGATTGCGACCTCTAAATGGGCGTTTATTTTAATGCTGATATGGTAAGGTACGCGATGTTTATCCCAGTCCATACTGTAGGTGGTCTTGCACTTAAGTCCAGGGCGGGTCGGGTTACTGCTGCCTTAGAAGCATGGCTGACGTCAGATGTAGAGATCTTAAGCTAAGGAGTAAACTTCAGACACGGAAATTTGGCGCAAAGCCAACTGTAGTACGGGGTACATAATGTCGTGCCTAAACGCAGCAATAGAATTGAAAACGCCTGCAATGGCAAAAAAGGGTCATATTATGAAGGTTATCTGGAGCGTTTGATAGGATCGTTATTGTAGTTTTTAGGCAAAACTGTCTTCTAGGGCTGCCTAAATATATATTTCCCACTCTCAATTGTTCAAAGCAACTTATGGATAAACATTCTATGTTTGGTCAGCGAGTGTAAATGAATGCTTAATTGTGTTCGAAGTGATCAAAAAATATTAAGTTAAGGAAACTTATATATGTTTTAATGAACTTCATCAACACAAACTATTGTTGCTGAGGTAGCTGATGGTTATTGAAAGAAAGTCTACCTTATACTAGCGGTATTTAATGAATAAAGGAGAGGTCGGGCTACTGATAATGTAAAAAAGTTACTGATATAAGTCAAAGGCAAAAAATACCTCTACATACAGTCCTGTCGTTTTTATACTTAAGGTAGTTACCGGACTGAGGAATATGAGGAGTCGCTCATTTTGCCTGATGATTGTAGTGATCCAAGTACACCATTATAACTTTTAGGTTTGTCCGAAGACAGATGTTTATCAAACCAATTTGGTCGCAAACATCAAATAATAAATAACTTGCAGTGTCTAGACGGTGTTAGTACTCAGTGCACCACAAAAATCAGGCCAAATCCAATTATAGGCGAAGACAGAGTGGCTTTTGGGGGGATTTATTGTGTACGGAATTCAGAATTGTTGCTCCAGGCAGCAGCGGCCACCGGCAAAGCCAAGGCTACTTTTGACGGTGTTCAGTCATGTCTGGAAGAGGGAGAGTATGACCGTATAGACAGCTACATTTATATGCCTTCAGATCAAGTTCAAGTGGTGTCCAATTCGTGTGGTACATTTCTGGAGGGGGGGAGGACAGTGTACGGTGGCTCCTGCTTCGTCAGCCGAGGAGTGGCGATTCTAACTGAACCCTAGGTAGCTGCGACGCCCTGGACGAGCGTGCGTGTGTGCGAATGGACGTCGGCCAAAGTTCTGCAGCTCGGCACCTCTTAAAACACTCGCTGCGAGGTTGCATGACCTTGAGGCAGTGAGCCTTGAAAATGGACGCCGAACGGCAACATTGGCGGTCGGCTACACACCCACCAAGCCAATTTGTTCAAGATTCCTGCCTTAAACGTTCAAAGACAATTAATTTTATCTAATTTGTAATCCGTTTGGGTTTCTACTCTCACGAACTTATCCATCCATTATGTCCAAAATGATGGTGAATGAGGAAAAGGGGAACTCGTTTGAGCTATTTTCGTTACTTCGTTGTTTTTGGTTCAGCGCCAGTGGATGACTTATGCAAAAACGCTAACAGTACTGTCCTTTCGGAATCTGTGTCTGCATAAACTCTCATTGTCAAGTTTGTACCTCCAAAATTGGCCGAGGATTTCTTGGGGCTATATACTCCGATGGCCTATGTATCAACCGGTATATTAAGTTAGATGCCCTGTCTCAGAAAAAAGTGGAAGATAAAACTGATGCAGACTGATGCAAGTTGCGGCCACTAATTAGCGCTCGCACCTGATGTCTAATGATTTTTCCAGCACTTTTGGTATTTTATTTACGCTTTGCACATTTACTCACGTTTAACGATGACCTGGGGAATAATCACCAAAAAGCTTACCCAAT